GGTTTTAGGTAGGGGAGGGGGAGCGTGTGCTGGGGTTTTAGGTAGGGGAGGGGGAGCATGTGGCTGTGCTGGTTGGCACCTTCCCATCAGCCTGCGTTTGGCCTTCAAGACTGAATTTCTTCTCCTTTGACTGTCTGGACTTTTCTGGTTAGTTTTCATCTTCAGCCTGCATTTGGCCTTGTAAGGCTGAATGTTGATGTCTGGAACTTGAATTCCTGGGAAAGACAGCTCATTCATACACTAAGGAGGGACAGAAAGACCTGGTTGGTTTCAAACAACACTTGATTATGCTGAGTATGCACAGCTGCAGTTAGCAAAGCTTATCTCCAAGTTTTTGCTCTAGGAGAGTTTTTAGCTTCTTTGCTCTCAGTTTCATTTGGTGTCATTGACGATGTGTGATAGGGGTGAGAGCTACCCCTACAATCCTTCCCAATACAGTTTAGTTAAGGTTTCTGTTATTCATTTCCACAATGGTTTATTTTTCTCAGTGGGCAAAGGAGAAGTATGAAAAGCCTGTGAACACATGTGAAGATGCAGTTTCATTCTGCAAAAAGAAAATTAAGCAAAATAATACCCTGTTCACCCATCGGATTGGCGACATCGCTTGTGGGCCAGGATGTGGGGAAGAGCCCTCTGGGAGGGAGGTTGGACAGGCTAATAATTCCACATCTCTTTTAGCCTTGAGAAGTCCTCAGAAATGAGCCCAAAGAATGTCACTGTGTATTGTAGTGATGGTGAAAGTTGGGGAACCATCTAGAGTGCCTGACAGAGAGTCGTTAAATCATCCAGGTTCATGCAGACCCTACAGTGGACATGGCAAGGTACGGGCAACACTGACGTGAGAGAAAAGGAAACGACAGTATAGTCTATCCAGTAGAATGTCAATATTTATGCTTAAAAGAAACTAACAAATCATTTCATTCTAGATTTACGTGTAGAGAAAGGTAATGCATGCATAGGGTAAGATCTGGAAGGATGCTCACCAGAGGGACAGCATCTTTTCCTCGAGGTGAGGATCAAGAGTGACTTTGATAACCTTTTTTATGAGAATATATTCACATATGACATGTAACTCATAATAAGTAACTCAAAAAGTTAAGCATAAAAATGCCATACAATGCAGCATTCCACTCCTAGAGAAGTGATGTACACCCACACAAAAACTTGTACATGGATGTTCATAGCAGTATTATCCACAATAGCCAAAAGATAGAAACAACCCAAACATCCATCACCAGATCAATGGATAGACAAAATGTGGTCTATCCACACAACGGACGTGCTCATCCATAAAAAGGAATAAAGTACTGATATGTGCTACATCCCATGTATATGAAACATACAGAATAGCCAAATCTATAGACAAAGTAGATTAGTGGTTGCCAGGGCCTGGGGGAGGGGGCAATGATGAGTGAGTGCTTAATGGATACAAGTTTCTTTTTGGGGTGATAAAAATGTTCTAAAATTGGTGATGGTCATACTACTTGGTAAAGTTACTAAAAATCATTGAATTGTGCACTCAAAATGGGTGAATTTATGATATGTAAAACATGCCTCAATAAAGCTGTTAGAAATGATAAAAGAATAAGTTGTAAAAGCTGAGCCAAGCGCAGCCCTTACTAGACCAGGCGCTGAAGGTTGCTTGCTGGGGAGAGGCCACACGAGAGTTAGCACTCCCTAGAAAGCAGATCTGTGCAGAGGGAACAAGCATGCCATCACAACGACCACACCCCAGGGCTACGCTGAGGACAGCCTGGCTGCACGTCTGCCCAGCAGGCAAGGAACGAGGCGGCAAGAACTCTCCTCCCAAGGGGTCATTGAACCCAGGGCTATGCCTCCAGCAGCAGGTGGTCTTCACAGAGAGCAGACCCCTGCTTAGGCGGCACCACGCCGAGTGACCCCCCCGAGCTGCAGACAGCCTTTACTGGGCAGCGTGCCATGTGCACACTGCCATTTTGTTTTGGCTCGGTGCCCAGGAGGCTTCCTGAGGAACTGGTCCCTCTGTTGGGTGGGCAGCACCTGGTGAGCGAGCACCTGGGCCTTCCTCACCTGCCTCAGGGAGAGGCCCTCTTGGTGTCCTCCTGGCCCTCTGGGGAAGCAGGGAGCTGGGACACTCGAGGGCAGAGGCTGCCTGAGGATGGGCAGGGCCACGCAGCTCATCTGTAATCCACAAAGGAACCTGACAGGCCTGCTCGTGCATTGGCTCAGGCCACGTCCTCCCCCCGAGGAGTGGCCATTCCCTGGACACTGGGCTACAGCAGACAGGCCTCCAGCATTGACAGAAAGCACACATCTCCTACAACACACCAGTGCTTACAGAAACAACAGCCAGCGGGCAGAGGCTTGTTAGCCTTCTGCTGGGGGATGGGGAATTGAGTCCCTGGGGGACAGGGATTGAGCATTGACTGGTGCAGCACGGGGGAGCCAGCAGCTGGCACTTGCCTCCCAGCTGCCCACCCCAAACCTCGACCTGGCAGGTCAGGGAGGGCCCTTGGGGGTCGTCAGGCCAGGCCTTTCCTGCAGCTTTGAGCCTGCCTCTGCCCGGCCCTGCCCTCCCTGCTCTGAAGTCACTAAGGCCCCTCTCCAGGGACTGGAAGCACCAGGGTTGAGGTTTCCTTCTTGGTTTCAGAGGCTGCCTGGAAGTGAAGGGAGGTGAGAAGCTATTATCATCCCGTTTCCAGAGAATTTAAATCAAAAGCACCCTCGTACCTCTCAGGATTTCCCCTGAACGGACTCCAGTAGCTGTGGCCCCCACTGCCTGGTTCTCTGTCGCCCAGGACAAAGCAAGGAGGCAGCCTCAGCACACAGTGGGCCCTTCCCAGCACAGCCTGTGGAGCAGGCACGACCATCCCTGCTTTGTAGGCTGGTACCTGTCCACAGGCTGTGATCCTGGAAGCAGGCCTCAGCCGCCTCCCATCAGGGGCTCTGGTCCTCCCCAGGATCCTGCACTGCTCCCGTCCCCTCTGACCTCTGAACTCCCAGCCTCAGAGCAGAAATGCACAGCAGGAACCCATAGGATCTGGGGCAGCCGGGGCCCAGCAGAGGGAGGGCCTAAGTGGTGCCATTCCCTGGTGTCCAGGAGGCCTGTGGACAAAGGAGCTGGCCTCCCATGCAGCTGCATGCCCCTCTGCAAGGACATCTGGGGGCCCACTAAGTGCCAGGCCTGGCCCCAGGAACTGAAGAAGGGACAGGACAGCATCCCTGCTGCTGAGGACCTTTAGGCCAAGGACGAAGCAGCCCAGAACAGCCCTCTGCTCATAAGTCCTGGGTCAGCCCTGCTGAGGCGCCCACCTGTTGGTGGTCAAGGGTAATTCTGGGCCCCCCCAGAAGGCCCAGGAAGTGTCTGGTGAAGAACCCTGACAGTCTCCCATGTGGCTCCCACACCCACAGACTCTGGCTCTGGGTGAGGATGGAGGCCAGGCCTCCAGACCCAGCCTCTGTCCAGATGGGGAGTAGGGGGACAAAGTGAGAGGTCTGGGGGGGTGTCTTTGGCCCTCCCCTCCAGAGTACTCACTACCTCTATGCAGTGCCCCAAGCCCTCCCCTCTGAGAAGGTTCTGGAGATCACTCATTGAGGCAAACAGACTTTGGCCCTGAAGCTCTGTACCCAGGCTCTCTGGGAGCACCCACAAAAGTTTCAGTTACTCTGGACCCCCCAGCCCAGGCCTGGTGCCAAGGAGAGGCCCCACTGAAGTCCCACAGGTGGATGGAGCCAGACAGCTCTCTGTGCATCTGGCAAGAGTCAAGGGTGGACACTGCAGCTAATGGGCCAGAATGACGAGAGGTGGGATACTCACGTGGTCACTAATGTCCCCACACAGATTACTTGTTAAAAGGGAAAGCAGCTTTGCAGAGAACCTGGCAGATCAAGTTGACATCACTAGGGTGGACAGACGTCGTGTGCCCCCTGAGGTGATGCGCTGGGAAAGACACAGGTTTACATGCTGTTCCTGCCAAGTGCGTGAGCTGAATCTTCATGAGTCACCTGAGCCCCACACAGGGACGCTTTGCCAAGTAACTGGCCATATCTTCTAAAATGTCAGTGTCGCGAAAAGCAAAGACAGTTGTGGAAAGCTTGAGGCTAAAGGGCCCTCGAGACTGGTGCCCGGGAGTGGTGGGAGCGTGCAGCCCTGGACCTGCTGCAGACGGTCCTGGGAACATCCAAGCAGGGTGGTCCTCTCCATTTCCCTCACTGTGCTGTGGTCGTGTCAGTCAGTATCCTTGGCCTTACAAGATACACACCGAACATTTTAGGACTAAAATTAGGGGCAACTGATGATCAAATGGTTCAGGAGAAAATGGAGTATGAATATGAAAAAGCAAATGTTGGCAAAACATTAACAATAGGGAACCTGGGTGACAGGTGATGAGAAATACTGTTATTCTTGCAATGTTTCTGTAAGTTTGAAATTACATCCAAATAAGAAGTTATCAAAAACAGGAGGGAGCTGATGGGGAGAGAACTGTGGGGCTCAGACCTGCCTACTGTGTAGCCTTCGACAAGTCACCATCCCTCTCTGAGCTTGTCTCTTGACTGTGAAGTGCGTGAGGCGGTTCTCTGTGGGTGATCCCGACTGAGAAAGGAAACATCCATTTCTCAGGGCGGTCTGAGCATCGGCCTTGGAGAAGTTGTGGGACACAGGCTCTGCCCAGGTCCATGTGGCCAGGGCGGTTGGGGCCCTGGGGTGGGGATGAGGGGCCCACAGAAGAAGGCTATCCCTAGGCAGGAGCTCTGCAGGACCAGGGACTACAAAGGACAGTGAGAATGGGAGCAGCCTTGGAGGTGCAGGTGGCATCTCTTGGTGGCTGCAAGTGGCTGGAGTGTCCAGTGTTGCCTCGGCCAGCTCTGGTGCCAGGCCTGGGCTGGTCCTTGGGAGACAGGCAGGCAGCCCAGCACTGGGAGTGACAGCTGCCAGGCAAGGCCCATGACGTGGGCACCACTGTGCAGTGGGCTGGGTCAAGTGGCAGGACCCTCACTGGGCGGGATCTGCAACATGAGGGGTGCCAGGGCGAAAGCGAGCAGCTGAAGGATGAGCAGGTTGGCCAGGCAGAGTGGGGGAGAATTCAGCGGGCGGCGTGGTGGGTCCACGTGCCGGCTCACGTTTTGGCATCTAGTGGCAGAGAAGGCAGCCTCCAGAAATGCAGGTGCTGGAGGCTGTTCTCAGCAGGCTCTGGGGGCACAGTCCCTGCCGGCAAGACCCATGCAGGGCTCTGTAGCCAGCCCCTGCTGACTCTTGGTGGAGTGTGGGCTTGGGAGTTGCTGAGCGAGCGCTCTGGCTCCAGCCCCTCCCCTGCGTAGCCAGGACAGCAGGCGCAGAAGTGGCCAAGGACGGCAGTCAGGCAGGGAGTGCCTTGCCCTGTGTGGAGTCCGTGGGTTTCAGGTGACGACGTGTACATCAGAGCCAGGAGCAGTCCACTGCCTGCCCCCACGGAGGCCTGCACCCCTGCCCTCAGCCCTGCTCTGAGAGCCCGCCATGCCAGGGCAGGGTTGAAACCAGGGAGCAAGGGCACTGGGTCCATCACCCATGCCAGGATGTCTTCAAGGGGTCGGAGCTGACACATCCACCCACCAGACCTGCAGAGGCCTGCTCCAGGGGATGGGGCGCCCAGTGCCCCACAGCTTGGTAGTCATCTCAGGACAAATGGGGGGCCAGCTGTCCCACCACCCCAGGAGAAGGGGAGGCCTCGCCCCATCCCTACCTGGGGCAGGAAGTGTGTGGCCGCGGTGGGGGCCTCACCCACTGCCCATATGGTGATAGGAAGGCACAGCTCACACTCTAAACGTAGGAGGCTTTATTGTCACAGCACAAAAAGGCGGAGCCAGGACCCGTCCCGCCCGACTCTGTGGCCTGCAGCCAAGGCTCCCTGCAGCCAAGGCTCGGGTGGCAGAGGTGGACAGTCCCAAGTGCCCACAATGGACAGGGAGCACTGGCCCCCTGCCTACAGCATGGACATTTCCAACTCTAAGATGACAAACCACACGTGACACCCTCTACTTCTCTAGGCCTCCTCCCCCGGGTTCTGGGGTGTACACCCACACTCAGATTCTGCTGGCCGGCCAGCAGGCAGACACAGCCTAAGTGCTGGACCCCCTCCTCTGGGGGGCTGCAGAAACGTCTGCCCAGGAGCTGCCTGCTTCCGTGAGGAACCAGTGAGGCGAGATGAAGGTTTGGCCAAGGGGCCTGTTCCTACAGGGGCACAGGGCAGGAACAGGGCAGCCGAGTGGCCTGGCTTCACAAAGGGACACCCAAAGGCCTGTGGGCGGCTCCTCCTGCAAAGCCATCTCTCCAAGGAGCATCAACAACTCAGGGCATAAGAGGCGCTGCCGCCCAGCTTCCTGGAGGGCCCTTGCTCACTGCGGCTGCTGGTTTGGGCTCGGGGTCAGCAGTTGCTTGGACCCCTAGATTGGCTGGCTGTTGCACCACTGAGGCAGCTGGAAGGCGTCAGGGACCCACAAGTGCACCCTGCAGAAAAACCCCCAAGGGAGGAGTTGCTCTGGGGTCCGAGTCTCAAGAACTATTGAGAACATCTGGGAGGGGTTCCTCCACCCCATGGCAGGATGGGCTGCCGGGGAGCAGCCAAGGAGACCTGCCAGCTCACCCCACCAGGAACGCGCACGGTGGCCAAAGACAGGGGTTCTACAAACCCCGAGCAGGGTCTGGGTGTGATGGGAGAGGACAGAGCAGGGCTCCTGGGGGGCTGGTGGGCATCGGATTACCGGTAACATCACAACAAATTGGGAAGGAGTCTGGAGGCAAACAGTGCTAGGGATGGAGCGCAGGCCAGCTGGCCTAGCTGGCCACCCCTGCATCCTCCTGCTCACCACCCCCACGACCTCAGAGTTGGGAGGAAATGCGACAGGCAGGGCCCTGGCAGGGCCTGCAGAGTCCCCAGACAGCTGGGGGCAGGGAAGGCAAAGAACAGGGCTCGGCCACTGTGTGGGACGCGTGCTGCCCGCTGGTCAGCGACAACCTGGCAGGGTGGAGGGCTGACCGCGGCTGGGTGGTGGTGCTGGGTGGGCTGATGGCCAGGGCCCCTCAGTCCTGCTTGTCCCCTCTCTGCCTCCAGGGGTAGATGAGCTCCCCGAAGAACAGCTTGCGGCACAGGGAGCCCCAGGAGTGCTTGGGGTGGCAGCCACAGCTGGGGAGGCGGTAGGTGTGCACCACATGACTGTAGGGCAGGGGGTTTATCTGGAAGCACAAGGGTGGCCCTTAGCCAGGGCCTGGCCCCCAACTCCCTGGAGCTCGAGCTCTCGGAGCCTGGTGGGCCCTTGGGGGGGGTCCCCAGGCTGGACAATTGTGGCACAGGGCCAGCTCTGTGCCAGACATAAGGGGCAGGGTGAGCATCTCGGGAGGGAGCAGGGGGCACGGTCAGGCGTGCTCTGCTCTGGGCTGCAGGGAGGTGAGGCGGGCCGGGCTGGTGGGGCGCAGACCCCTCCACCCCAGGACTCACTCAGCTCCCAGGAGCCTCCACGGGTGGGACTCGGAACACACCACCCCCCTGAGAAAACCACACAGGGCCCTGGCTGCCTCAGCACCTGACCTCTCCCCGAGACATGTGCAAGGTGCTGGGCATGACCCTCAGGCCAACCCTGCCTGCCTGGACCTGACACCTGGCAGCCAGCCAGTCACCCAGCAACCCACCTGCTCCCTTCTGCGCTGGGGCCCCGAAGACTGTTTCTCATAAAGGAGCCCAACAGAGAACACCTGTATGTCCTAAGTCTGTGCTGTCCCCTGGAATGAGAGCCCATGGGGCCCAGGGCAGGAGACAGGGACACAGGACCACACAGGCAGGACCCTGGGTGGCTACGGGCATCTGAGAGTGCAGGGGACCAGGCCCTGCTGGGGGAGGTTCCAGGCAGAGGGAGTCATGGTGCCTAGAATCCTTGGGGGTGGGGGAGCCTCCCCTTGGGCCCCACCCCTCAGCTCTGCTGGGCCCTCCTGCCTGCACCTTACCCTAGGCCCCACAGCCCCGCAATGGGCCCACACTCAGGGTGGCACAGAGCGGCCCTGATCCCAGCTGCCCTGGAATGTGGCATCAACATGACAGGCAGGGGGGCCTGCCCACGGGCCGCAGTGTAAGGGTACACAGAGGCCTTACCTGCATCAGGAGGCGGAGGGGCCTGCCAGCCTCGTGCTCCAGGACTCGGAACTTCACACCAGCTGCAAGGAGAGCGAGGTGCCTGTGAGGGTGGGTGGCAGCCCTTCCAGGGCTTTCAGGGACCTGCAGGCAGCCCCCCTCAGTCCTCCTGTCTGTGTGTTGGCAGAGGGGCTCTGATGGCACAGGCCCCTTCATCTCTAGCAGCGCTCAGAGGACTGCGGGCTGGGGCCAGCCCGGCGGCATAATGGTTAAGTTCGTGCGCTCCACTTCGGCAACCCTGGGTTTGTGGGTTCCGATCCCAGGTGCGGACCTACGCACCACTTATCAAGCCATGCTGTGGCAGGCGTCCCACATATAAAGTAGAGAAAGATAGGCACAGATGTTAGCCCAGGACCAATCTTCCTCAGCAAAAACAGGAGGATTGGCAACAGGTATTAGCTCAGGGCTAATCTTCCTCACCAAAAAAAAAAGAAAAGAAGAAAGAGGGCTGTGGGCCCATCCCATCCCTCCCATCTCCTCTCTGAGCGGCTGCTGCCCACTATCAAAGCCTCCCGCAGAACTTTACTCAAGCAGCAGCTGAGGGTCTGGCAGGCAGGGAAGAGCCGGCCGGGTGTCGGGCGCAGGCTATGCTGCTTCCCGAGTGGGACATGGTGTTCCCACAGAGTGGGCGGGCGCTTGTGGGTGGCGGCCACCCTGCTGGCACCTAAATGTCTTCCAACTTCTGCGTGCGTGGCCAACTCAGGGGCCCACCAGGCCCTTGGCCTGCAGTTTGGGCCCTCAAGCCTGGGGATTCCCAAGGTGGAAGGTTCTTGAAAAGAGAAGCAGGAGCTAATTAATTGATGAAGAGGCCCGAAGGCAAACTCAGTGAAGAAGAAGAGAGGAGGCGGGAGCATCTGTGGCCTTTTATGTGGAGTTAAAACGACTCTGCTTTGGCCAGGAGCCGTAGGCTGGAGGATGAAGGTGTTGGGTCTCGGGCTCTCCACCTGCCTGGTCCTGGCATGCTGAGGTATGGGTGGAGGCTGGGGGCCAAGTGAGACGGGCAGTACTGTAGATGGGTCCCTGGCCTGGGCCACCTGGGGGTCTGCAGGGAAAATGGCTTAGAAAGAGGATTTGAGGGCATCCAGCAGGCAGACTTCAGGTTCAAGCCCACAGAACATGCACGTTCACGTCCTCTGGCTCCGAACTGGCTGGGAGCAGATGCCGTGAGCTTTGGTGTGTGCCCAAGCTGCCCAGCTGCAAACAGGGTGCAGGGCCTCCTGGGTGTGCAGTCATCTTAGGGACCATCTCAACAACTGCTGGACGGGGGCTGTGCCAGGAACTCCCTAAGTTCCCTGATATGTTCAAAGCCCCTGAACCAGATGGGCCAACCCACAACCCTGTGACCAAGTGGGCCAGCCTCCCCTCAAAGGCATCTGGCCAACCCAGTGGTTGCAGACAGGGGCAGCCACCTGCAGAGGGCATGGACAGGGAGAGCTGGGATGGTGGGTGTTGTCCCAACAGGCAATAGTGTGCTGGGGGTGGGGCGAGATGGTGCTCCTGTCACACACAGCTGGCCAGCATCCTCTACCCTGGCCTGTCCCCTCCAAGGTTGAGGGGCACCAGCAGGCACACATAGCTCCACACAACCACCGAGGGACACATCTTCTCTGAGCCACATTCAGGCTCGGCTACACTCCTGCAGACCTCAGGGCAAATGTTCATGCTTGTCACAGAAAAGGGTGACAGAAAGGAAAAGCTGCCTCTGTGGCCTCTGAAGCTGGGTGCCAGGTGCGCCCCCTCCCTCCAGCTCACTGTAGGCAGCTGGTCCAGGACCCCAGGACTGGGGTTCTCTGTCCTCCCCACCCGCCCAGCACGCAGACTTACCCGCGAGCCTGTAGGGCCGGCAGAGCCGGAGGCCTAGTGAGTACAGCGGCAGGGAGTTGATAAGGTCCACGAGCAGATGGATCAGGCCCTGCACAGTGACCACCAGGAGCCGGAGCTGCAGCACAGACAGCATTCAGGCCCCTGAGCCAGGACTGGCCAGAGCCATGCTGGCACGCCCACAAGCAGAGCAGCCTCACAGTCCTGGGTCACAACGAAGGGTGACCAGGTACAAGAGCCCTAGGGTGAGCATGGATCCCCCCCACCTCCCGGAGGGCATGGGCCCTGCCTCAAACCTGAGGCCCAAGCATGAGGCAGCAGGGAAGCAGCAGGTGAGAGCAGTCAGCCCTCCCACGGGTCAGAGGAGACGGTGCTCTGACCCAGGGAAACGTGCCACTGGCCTTGGGCCCAGGACTCCAGGGTGCTGTGCCCTTCGTCTGTCTATGCCCCCCAGCCCATGCCAGGCACTAAAAGGAGATCACCACCATGACCCACCCACTGTGGTCCTGGCCTCAGTGCACCCAGCTGCATGTCCCAGAGCAGCAGGTGGTGTCCCTCCAACATAGGACCCCTGCCTGCTCCAAGGCCCAGCACACACTGCCCAGAGTCCAGAACAGCCACACCCCACGTGGCCTGCAGGGGTGGACAGCCTGCTCATGGCTGCCCACTGGCAGGCAGAGCTGGCAGTGACCACTCCATACACTGTCGGCAAGGCCCATGGGCCGGATGCCACACCCAGCGCCCCCATGGTGTGTGGTGCTCAGCTCACCAGGGTGAACACCAGGTAGTACAGGGCCGTGGTGGGCAGGAGGAAGACCAGGATGGTGAAGAGCAGAGTCCCGATGAACAGCTGCCAGGAGAAGGACCCCAGATCAGCATTGCCTGGGCCAGACGACAGCCCCACCAGCACTGGCCACATCCCTGCTGCCTACACCCCTGCTGCCTGTGCCCACCAAACCCATCCTGTAACTGAGCAGAAACGGGACGCCTGCCAGTGAGACACCAGCTTCCCAAGACAGCCTGGGAGAGCCCGCTCGTGACAGTCTTCTCAGTACTGGGAGGGATGCGTCTGTGTGCCCTCCAAATTTGGTGACCCAAGGGGAGACAGGACCAGCCCCTCAAGTGTGCAGCCACACATACCAAAGACAGGAGAGTTGTGAAAGTTAGGCAGGAAAAAACATGCCCTGGAGGGCAGCACCTGGGGTCCGTGTGTCAGGTCTGAGCAAGCTAACGGGGCAAGCGAGAGCCAGGCCCTGTGCCTGGGTCACCTCCAGGTCCTGTGCCCGGGTCACCTCTAGTGCCTGCTGTCTGGTGGCTCCCTGGGACACAGCGGCCTCCTGAGAGCAGGGTCCATCTCCCAGCGGGGCAAGGTTCTGCTCTGTCTGAGGGCCCCATGTGCACCCTGCTCATTGCAGACTCCCTACGTCCTGCAGGGTCGACACGGACTCTGTGGCAGGAGAGCTGCAGGACAGGAGTATGGCTGCCCCCTCGTGGCACCCAAGCAGCTGCACTGGCCAGGCCCACTCAAAGGGAGTGGTCACCTGTGGGTCACGCAGGCCAGTCAGGGCCGGGGGGGGTCCCCTCCACTGCACTCCTGCCCAGTACCTGGTCCAGGTCGTAGGAGCAAGAGTCCACTCGCTGGCGCAGAACGTTCCACTTCTTCCCCCGGAAAAGACGCCAAAGTGAGGACAGGCCACAGATCTTCAGGCAGTACAGCCTGCAAGACGTGGGTGCCGTCAGGGCGCCAAGCCACCCCTGTACCCACCCAGCCCCAGGAGCCTGTACATGGCGCCCAGGGCTGGAGGGTTGCCTGGGCAGCCTGCAGAGGGGGGAGCACACACCCACCTGGCACCGTAGACGTAGAAGCAGTAGATGTGGAAGGTGAGGAGGGCGACGATGTCTGACAGGATGGACAGGGCCACTGTCAGGCCCAGGCAGGCTGAGAGGCCCACATGCCACAGGATGCGCTCAATGAAGGGGGACATGAGGTGGATGTAGCCTGGTGGGATGGGGTTGGCCCTGAGGGGGGTACCCAGGGACGTCCTGGTCCCCCCTAAGTCCTCACTGAGGATGGGTGCCTGAGGCTTCTAGAAACTGTGACAGACTATGCCACTGACCGTCCCTCAGCCAAGCAGCCAGCCCAGAACAGCAGGGCTCCACACATGCAGGACGCTGGGAGGGCAGGAAGCACAGAGCAAGGGGCAGGGCCTGGCCTGTGCTCCACTTCCCTGCTCAGCTGAGGCTTGTGTCCCTTGGGGCCCAGGCTTCAGGAGCCAAGCTAGAAGTCACTGGGGCCGGGTGAAGTCCCGCCCAACCTGCCCAACCCCTCGCTGGCCGTTGGCACTCACTGATCCACAGATGGATGTGGTACAGGAAGAAGCGGCCCAGCACCTGGTCCAGCGCCCGATTCATCTTGAGCCCGGCAGGTGCGCCCATCAGCCATTGCAGCAGATGCTGGAGTTCTTCGGCCACGTGCTGTGAGGACACAGGAGGCGCACTGTGTCTATAAACTGGGCCCCACACAGCCACCCGTCTGGGCAGGGACCAGGCTCCTTCCTCTAGGTCTCTGGACTGCCGTCTCCTGACATGACAGGCACATGGGGTTTCACACTTGTCTGGCCACAGAACCCCTCCTCACAGATGCTCTGGGATTCGGGGCTCAGAGTCACGACCTACGAGGCCAGCAGCCTTTCCTGGCCTGCTGGACACAGGGCCCCTGATGGGTGTCAACATCTACATGAGGCGTCCTCCCCTCCATCTTATCATTCGGGCCCTCAGCCCCAGACACCTGGACATGGGACTGACACCAGCTCACCATGCACCTTGCAGGGGGAGCCCGTGGGCCCACTCAGTCTTCCACAGCCAAGGACCCCACCCCACCACCTGCCACTGCAGAGGCCCTGGGTGAGCGACCTCGAGAGAGCATGAGGGTATTGAGCCTGTCAGGGGCCCAGGTAGCAGGTGGGAGGGCTGGAGGGTCCCCTTGAGGGAACGACAAATGGGGACTGAGAGTCAAGGACAATGTCAAGTGAGGGCCAGAGACGGCACGAGGACCTTCACAAGCACGCAGGGAAGCTGACCAGCGTGCTGGCCACCCACGAAGAAAGCAGATGTCTGAGCACTGTGCTGGCCCCAGTGGGCAGGCCCTGAGGACCCCCAGCCTTGTCACCACTGCTGAGGCCCCACCATCAGAGTCTGCCACCCCCTCCCGCCACCATGCAGGCCTCTCCCAACCCCACGTGGAGACCTCAGCCGTGTCAGGAGCAGTGAGAAGGGGAACAGAACGCTCTTATTTATAAATAGAGCTTATTTAATATTTAAAGGATAAAAGCTTGGCAGCAGGAAGAGACTTTCATTTTTAAATTAAATATTTATATTTCTGAGCAATTTTGCAAAAGGGAGGTCTAGGATGAAGCTGGCTGAAAGAGAGTGTGGAGGAGCAAGGTGAAGCAGCCAAGCCCCCTCCCAGCCCCCAGCCTCCTTCCTTCCTTTTTCCTCTGGGGCCGGGCCTCCCAGAGAAGCCATGGGGACTCTCGGCCTGTGAGGGCTCCTGCCCCAGAGTCCTGGCCCGGCTACAAGCAGGTCCAGTGCACACCTGCGGCTGGATGCTGAAGACAGCAGGCAGAGGCTGAGCTCACAAGGACCACCCAGCCAGGCCTCAGCCACTCGACCACACCCAGGGCCAGAAGGCCCCCTGCAGAGGCCTGGGGGTGGCTCAAGGAGCCAGAGGGACTGCCCTAAGCAGGAAGACAAGCTCCCACCAGAGGGCATTTGGCTCTGAGAAAGGGAGGCAGAGAAGCTGAAGGTGTGGAGCCGACGTGGAAATGCAATACAGTAGCCACTGGAAGGGTGACCATGGCAGGCAGAGGAGGAAGGGGGCGGCACCCAGGCCCTGGAAACGCTGCACAGACCATGCAGGGGAAGTCGAGGAGCACAGCAGACGAGGGGACTGCAGAAGCAACACTGGCAGCTGCGTGACCGCCAAAGGGCGGGAGACCCAACTCAACTGCACACGGACACCCCTGGACACACAGAAGGTTTCTATGATGCTGACCGTGCAGAAGGCCCAAGCCAAAAGTCAGCTTCCCTGAAGAGCCAGGAGAGCAGAAACCATCATGCATGGGGGGATGGGGGAACAGGGATGTGTGACACTGAGCCTAGCAGGGGAGGGGGGCTCCCCCTAAAAGCCTTGACCACAAGGTGTCCCCCAGACACGACCACCTTCAGGAAGGGAAGGGGAAGGCCAGGAGAGATGTGACCCAGAGTGGGACGGTGGGCATCTGTCAGGCCAGAGTCTGCACAGCCCTGGGGACCCTGTGAGACACAGTGGCTCCTAGGGGACCTGTCTGGGATCCGGGACAGGGCTGCTCTACTGGCCCGAGAGAGTGGAAGGAAAGAGCTGCTCTGGCCAGCTGAGGGGCCTCTGATGCCACCAGGAAGGCCCCCACCCCCACCCCCACCCCTGGGAAACAAGTGCTCGAGTCCAGACCGGCTCCACCCCAACCAACTTACGTCAGCCACAGGGACAAGGGCATCAGCCAGCTGCCCGATGCGGTCCTTCCCATGGAGCCAGGACAGAAGGGCAAAGCCGAGGGCCACGTCGAGGAGCACAGAGACAAACATGTTGGCCTTCCTGGAAGGAGAGGTCCGATGGGAGTGGGCGGTGAGGGCAGCCTGGCTGGAAGGGTCAGCGTGGCAGGCTTGGTGCAGAGGAGGGGTGGGGAGGGGCGGGGCCCGAGGTGCGTCTGGCCACTGCAGAGGAGACTCAGGGCAGGCCGCACCTCATCAGCTGGGCAGGGTTCTCGGCCTTCTGGGTGCTGAAGATGAGCGTGAGCTGCCCCAGCCGGTGCCTGAGCTGCTCACACGTGGAGAGCTTGCTCCAGATGAAGGACAGTGGCCACAGCCTGAACACCCTGGGAAGGAGCAGAGAAGGCTGGGCCTCAGTTCCTCCTGGGGCTCTGCCTCCCAGGGAGTGAGGGCCGCCTCGGCTCTCACCAGTACCCCTGACAGTGCAGAGGGGAAGGGCCAGGCCAGGCTCAGCCCAAGGCCTTGGTGGCCCCAAACACTGACGGTCACACTCCTGAACTCAGCAGGGCAGGGACACAAGTGGGAGGGCCCAGGAGGGCAGCCCAGCGGGGGTCACGGTGCGCTTATGACCATTAATTGGGAACCCGACCTCCTCACAAAGTGCTGACACAGAAACACCCAAAGCAAGAGTGCCAAGACCATGCCCAGGAGTGGAGAGAACGCATCGTCCCGCCACACAGTGCCCTGCTCTGCCGTACGGGGACCCTTGTCATGGTCTCCGGCTGCCCAACGAGACTGACTTCTCACAGGGAAAGGAAGCCCTGAGATGCCTTGCAGACAGTCAGACGCTGAGGGGAGATGTTCGCCAGCAAAGGTGCAGAGAGCGCCCAGAGCCTTGTCTCGCCGCAGAGCCTGCTGCGGTGGGAGAGACCAAAAGGGCTCATGCAAAGTGCGGAGCTGCCAACCAGCCGCACCTGGACCCTCGGGAGGAGGGAGGAGGTCTTGACTTTGGAAGGTGGAAAGGCTGTGTCTTCAACCAAGCAACTTTGAACCAATTCTAAGAGTGAAACGCATTCCCAACTCCAATCAAGCGGAAAGTGACCTCGAGCTGGCTGCACAGAGACTGCTGCCCGCACAGCAGTCTCCCCAAGACTCAGACCAGACCTGGGCAGTCTAGGCTAACAGCATCCCTGGGGTTGCCCTGGGCTGGCCGGGGGCTTTGCTCCTGCACAATGACCACCATGCCTGGCTTGAATGTCACAGTGCTTGCAACCACCACCGGCAAGCAACCAATGTCTGCCGGACGGGTGCCTCAGGATGTGGGGCACAGGAGCATTCTCAACCTTTCCTGGGCCCTTTGAAAGCTGATCAAAGCCCAGGACCTTTTCTTCCCAAAACTGCACCTCGGCCCAGACACACAATTGCACATAATTCATTCCAAGGGAGTCGTGAGGCTCCCAAACCCAGCCCTCACATCAAGGGCCCCAGCAGCCCCCACAACCCAAGGCGTTGTCCACACACAGCTGCCGAGGACTCTCAGCTAGGACAGGCCCCAGTGCTCCCGGAGCCCCCAGTGAGCAGACAAGGCCAGTCCCCAAGCCTGACAGCCTGAACCCCTGGACCTGAGGGGAGGGGTGCCCGAGGGTGTAGCAAAGGTGCTGCCTACCAGGTGCTGCCACGTGGGAGACAGCTTTTCATGGAGAGAGGGCCCCTGGAGCCCAGCCCTGGCCCTCTGGGTAACCAGCCAGAACACCATGGGGCTACCCCAGCGTTCCCCAGGGCCCTTAGGGACTTTTATAATTCCTTGGCCAGGCCCAGAGCCAGGAGCGTTCAAGGTGCTTCTGGAGAGCCTCTGAGGCTGGGGACCACCACCCCACACCCACGGCTGTTAGTAAGTAGACACCGCCCCCACGGCCTCCCAGGGCTGCCTCTCCAGTGAGCCCTGGGGCCAGGGAAGCGGGTGGGCCTGCATGCCTTCAGGACGAACAACTCCCAGGCAGGGCAAATGGCAGGCAGCAATAACCAGGTCTGTTCATCATCTGATTTCCTTTCCAGGGCCAGTGGCCTAAGGTTCACCCTGTACCCTACCAGGTGGGTCCCAGAAACCCAGTGAGGCTGCCTGGAAGCCTGGCTCTGCCCCCGGAGCAAAGGGCACCAGAACAGCAGCCACTACTGAGTCGTCCCCCTGAGATACCAGGGGAGGGTGCATGGGACGAAAGCCAGGGTGCAGGGAGGGGCAGCCAGAAGCCTCAGAAGGGCCCGTCTGGGCCTCCAAGCACCCTGCACACCAAAGGGTGGGCACCTACCGGCAGGCGCTGGCAGTTGAGATGAGTGACAGCAGGCAGGACAGCAGCAGGCAGACGGGCCCCGATGCCCGCTTGGCCAGCTCCACGAGGATGCTGGCCTCCACACCCTCCGACTGCCAGTGGCTCAGCCGCACGGGGCCCTCATCGAACCGGTCCCTTCGGAAGAGTGCCTCGCTGCGCGCCACGGTGTCGAAGACGGCAGCCAGGCCCCCCGCGCTGGCCGTGGCATCCCCAGCCTGCCGGTCAGGCAAGGCTGCAGGCGGGTTCAGCTGGGATAGCAGCACCTTGCGCTGGTCGTAGAAAATGAGCATGACCTGGTCCTCGCCAGGGGCACTAGGGGAGGTGGGCACCTGCCGGCGGGTGGCCTTGCAGCTCCAGAATTTGCTGCCCCTCTCCCGGCACAGCTGGAGCCAGGGCTCATGGGAGAAGATGGTGCCCAGGCCCTCCAGGAAGTGACCCAGGCTCTCCTCAGGCTCCTGCCGGCGGTGGCACCAGGTGCCCAGCACGGCTACACCCACCCGGCTGGCCTGCTGCACCTGGGCCAGGAGCTCCTTGACCTGGATGGGGATGAAGGGAAAGTGCACTATAGCCAGCACCACGGCACTGCTCTGCTCCGGGACCCACCGTCCAACCAGCAGGCCGCTGTCCACTGAGGCGCAGCATGTGGGGAAGAAGGCCTTGAGCACCATGCCGGGGATGCTGGAAGAGACAGGAGAGGCTCAGCTCAGAGCTGCTGCCACTGCCACTGCACCCTGACGGGCCCAGAGCGGCTGGCAGCGCCGTGGCTGCAGGCCATGGACAACCTGTGGCATAGACAGCCTTGACGGACACATCCACGTGGCCACAGGGCCCACACACTGGGGCGACCCAGCTTTGGGTTTGGTCAGAGGCTGGTGGGCGCCCTCCAGCTGTCCATCTCACATGGGCACCACCCACACCTCTACCCCAGCTGCTGTGAGCGCAGGCCCAGCCCCAGGCCGCCCCCATCCCCACCCCGAGGCAGGTCAACATACTCCCTCATTTCAAAGACAAGCAGGATGAAGCAGGACGAGGTTACACGACCTGCTCAGGACCACTCACAGGGTGTGCGCACCGAACATGAGGGCTTCAGTTGTTTCTAAGGAACCTGATTAGGATTTTTAATGTGTAGCACATGGAAAGACATAGGATCTCATTAACAATTAAAATAATGCAAATTCAAACTCTAACGAACCTTGATTTACTTACGAAGCTAGCAAGAATAAAGATGAAAATTTAAACAAATTGTTGCCAGCTGAGGGAAACCAGACACGTGCACACTGCCAGCGGCCCTGGGCACTGGTGCAGGTGCCCCCAGCCCGCCCCTGCCCAGTAGGCCCCTGGAGGAGCCTCAGTGCCCAGGGAGCAGGCTCAGGCTCAGCTCTGGGCTCTCAGCTCTCAGGGGGCTTCTGCCTCTCTCCGACCCCCAAGGCCTCCAGCCTCTGGCAGTGCCCACCCTTCCCAGGAGCCCATCCGTCTGCCACTTCAGGGCAGGGCTCCCAGCAGGGGAGTGTCCTCTTGTCACAGCTGAGCGCCTCCTTCAGGAGCATTCCTCCCACCGGGTAGCTATCTAGAAATGGGGGTGGGAAGTTCGCAGGCCCTGGAGAGTGGCGAGATCCCACCAGGCTGAGGGGACGCCAGGCTTCCTGGCCTCTCACGACCTTCATGTGGACTCTGAGCAGCAAGAACAGCCCTAAGCAGCCGTGATGCCTGAATTCTGCGGGACCCTGAGCCTTGGCTTGTCCAGAAGTAAGCTCACTGGGGATGTGGGCTTCTCAGCAAGCACCTCATTCCTCCCTGAGCCCCTCCCAGACAGGGCCTGACGGGCAGTGTGGCGCTGAGGGGATTCGCCTAGGAGCACGTGTTTCTCAGACACTGACTGCCCCCACCTTGTTGGCACAAAGGGCAGAGCAGCCGCCCTGAACTAAGACCCCACGTTGGAGCCCACACCTGAGGGAGGGACATAGGCCTCAGACTGAGCCTGGGCCTCTGTTCCCAGTGCTCACTAGGCCCTCAGGGACAAGGGGACAGAGAGGGACACTCGCGTTGGGATGGTGCAACGTTGCGGGAGGTGCAGGGAGCCCCTTCCTGAGGGTCAGTGGGCCCTAAGAGGGGCCTCACCAACACCAGGGCTTAAGAGGCCACCAGGGCAGCTGCGTTCCTCCACTGCAGGTAGCCCAAATGGGGATTGCAGGATTGAGGCCTCTCCAGCCAGCTTGTTAAAGGGACCTCTTGCGGCCTTGGGTTCCAACTGAAAAGGGTCCCTCTGAATCGAGCAGCAGCAGGACTCCCAAATGCCCTGCCCCCCAGCGACCAGAGAGGGCAAGCAACAGTGGGTGCCAGCAGGGAAAGGCCCAGAGCCCGAAAGGAGCCCGAAAGCAGCGCGGGCAGAATCCCTGCGGCCATCAACAAGGGCATCAAGGGCCAACGTGTCTTCCCAACCCTTCTGCGGGGGCCGCCCTCCGGAAAAAGGCATCATGAGAGAGAGAGAACAATTTTGCCTGTGAGAGACCTGGTGCATTTGGCTGGGTGACCACCCCGGGGGACCAGCCAGCACGGTCCAAGCCTCTCAGTTCAGCCTGTCGGGACACACCAGCTCAGCCAAATGACATCATGACACTCTGCCTGGGGACTCGTTTCACAGGAGCTAATAAGGAAAGCTGCCCACGGCTACTGTCGGAAAAGAAACACAATTGGCCTAAGCGTGAACAGATGCTCTTGGGGAGCAGGCTACACGGTGTGTTCACTTTGGGAAAACTTGTCGAGTTGTACACATACGCTTTGTGCACTTTGTGTGTATTACGCTTCATCTACAAAGTTTAACCCCCCCCCCCCAAAAAAGCAGCAGCTCCTCACGTCTAAAGAAGAAGAGCGGAGGGCAGAAGTTGCCGTTCTTGTCCTTGGGGTAGTGAGAGAGAACTCTTAACAAATTACAGGGCAAATTCCCAGCCCCGCTCCCGCCTCAGCCTCTGGGAGCGACCAACACAAAGAAGCCCGCGCAGATCAGACAGGAGAAGATGAAAGGGCAGGCGATCGATAGCAGGGTGCAGGCGGGGGAGCGGGCAGTGACTCCAGCAACATGCGCATCTTTAAAGGCTCTGATAAAAAACAAAGGTACTGCTAAGAACGACACCAAGTGTGAACCGGCCCCTTCCCGGATCCGTCAGGCCCCCGGGACTCGGGGCGCCCCTCCCGCAGATCCTGAGGTCGAGTTGACCCTAGAAGGGGAGGCTGCTCCCCTCTCATCCCCCACGGACCGGCTCTGGGGGAGCCCCGCCACACCGCCAGGGCTTCCCAGGCGGAACCCTCCTCAGAGCCCCGCACTGCGTCTCAGGAGCGCACGAGTGCTCCATCCCCCTCCATGTGGTTTGCGTTGAAACGACATGGACGAGGTCTCGCGGTGGGTCAACAGCGCTTGCCCCTCGTTTCAGAAGAACGGACGTGAGGAAGGGCTCTGTCTTTGGCCCTCACTGCAGTCAGGGACGACTGGAAGTGCTGGCGGAACGCCCTTCCACAGGTCCCCGCCGCCGGGCCGGGCGTCGAAGGGAGCCGCCCCTCACCGCCGGGGCGAGGGCATCGGACTCCCGGCGGGCACCCGCGGCCC